TAACTTCCAATATCTCATCATACAGAACATTATCAACTTTGCTTTGAGGAAGACACTCTACAAAGACAGCGGAGCTATTTTTTCGCTTGTTTCTTAAATTATAATTTTAAAATCAATTTTATTAAATAAAATGTAGATGAAAGTGATTACCAAGGAAACACTGATATTCATTGTTTTCTGCTAAAATAGTGACATATTAGGAACTATTTGTAAATAATCAATAATGCTGGCTGGTGTTAGTTAAACTTACCTGCCTTGGTGTCTGGCACACAATTTCACTGCACTGCACTGCACTGCACTGCACTGCACTGACTGCACTACACTACACTACACTACACTACACTACACTACACTACACTACACTACACTACACTACACTACACTACACTACACTACACTACACTACACTACACTGCACTGACTGCACTACACTACACTACACTACACTATGTGTTGAATAGTCATTTTAATAGTCTTAACTCAGATTTCCTATTTCCACAGGGTCAAGCTGTAGGACTTGTCAAGAACTTAGCATTAATGGCATACATCTCTGTAGGATCACAGCCAAGTCCTATCTTAGAATTCTTGGAAGAATGGAGTATGGAGAATTTAGAAGAGATAGCAGCATCAGCCATCAATGAGTAAGATTTATGAAAACACTTTGAACTCTGGGTGGGAGACAGTCATGTCTTGAACCTAGCAGTTGATTCTGCATATACTAATATTCCTGATTGTAGCCTTGTTTATTATAAATTGCCAACATCAAACATCATTCATACAGTTGTATTGTACTACTGTAAAATTCTTTATTTTCACTAAGGAGTGAATCAGTAAAAATAAAATCCAGTGAAAATGCTTGTTTTTCTATGTTTTACAATCAGTGAAAATAAATGTCATACTGTCTTTTCAACAAAAATTGATGCCTGGACCAATCATAATCAAACTTTGCGCATACATCATACATAATATTATACATATGCACATCTATTTGTTTCACGATCTGATTCAAGATGACCGAATGGCGGCCATTTTTGTGCTAAAAAAATCATCGAAATCAAGCATTTCTCTGCTGTTTACAGATGGATTTTGTTCAAACTTGGAATATACATTGGACATTATGGGACCTTGATGCAAATAATTTTGTTTTTTAGATAAGACTCAAAATGGCCGACTGGCGGCCATTTTGTTTTAATGAATGTGGTTCTTGTGCCATATCTGACTTGCTTTGACTGATTATGTTCAAATTTTGAATATTCATTATACATCATGTCATAGATATACAGATATATTGGTTTGATGATTCTATTCAAAATGGCCGAATGGTGGCCATTTTTGTGCTAAAAAATCATCAAATATCAAGTATTTCTGGCATGGATGGATTTTGTTCAAACTTGATATAAAATGTACATACGTTAGACATTACGGGTTCCTAGTGCACATCATTTTATTTTTCAGATCGCATTCAATATGGCTGACTGGGGGCAATTTTGTTTTATTGAACGGGCTTCTAGACCCATATCTCAGACATTCTTTGACTGATTATGTTCAAATTTTATATATTCATTATACATCATATTATAGATATATACAGTCAAACCTGTGTTAACGACCACCTGTGCAGAGCGGCCACCTGCTCATAGCGACCACCTTAGTACAGTCCCTTCGCAATTTACACGTTTAAGACACTGGATATAGCGACCACCTGTCCAACGTGACCAGCGATCACCCTATTGTAGACCTATTCACACTTTAACCTTTGTATAACGACCACCAACATTTCCATCAAACGGTCTCAGCAAAAAGACAATAGCTACTTGCGAATTGCTAACAGGAATGTGGTCATATGTTACGTTCAGATTACAGAGTACGCAATCTTTAGGGCTAATACTAATAGACAGGGGTGACCATGGCAACTTGGTTTGTGAAGTTGCGAAAAAGTAAAAAAAAAGTTGAATATCATCTGAATGTAACGTTTGGGGACTGGAAAGATTTTAACAACAAATTAAAAGTTCCATTCAAAGTTTGAAATGAAAAACTAGCTGGTTTCCGATTGGTACCATCGATCCCCAGTCGGCCAGCGGCACTTCTGTGGACTGTCTCGCACATGAAGAGCAAATTCCTCCCATCTCGAAAACAAGAAAAATGAACCAGTTTTATTAAACGAGAGATGTTTTATTTACCTTGTCAACATGAAATATCCAAACAAAATAATAAAACATTTGTTTATTTCGTTTTCATCGCGGGATTGCAAAATCAGACCTATTTTGGCTGCCATGTTGTTTGTTGTTGATCGTTATAAATTATGCTAATGAAGCTAGCGCATGGGGTCATCTCAGGGTTATTCTCAACGAAAGTTGTTTTCTATTTTGATCATCTTTTTTTATGAACGGTAATATCAATAATTCCCAATCGAGAAAATTTGTTTCGTTTGGGCAGTTTTGACACGTCGATGCTTGCAACAAATAACTGTAAAATTGCGTGTACGATCATCGTGTTCCATTTCCGGTTCGTTTGATTTTCTGATTCAACACCGAGAGTTGGAGCAATGGTTATGAGTTCGGTAAATTTTGTTTATTACCAATGCTTCTTCATTTTTAATGCTTGTTTGTTTGTTTTTTCAAACACGGCAACTTTGCCTGTGCATTTTGTCACAATGTACAATCGACAATACTAACGATGGGACTGATTACCGCCTGTAATGGAATATGTGTAAGAGACTGGGGAATAAGACATGGATGGCGAGAGTGTGAAAGACCGAGTTTAAACGCCAATGCGGCCGATCGTTGACAATCGTTCTTATGCATTAAATATACCAATGAATCCATGGGCAGAATCACTTGATTTCATTGAATTTACATGATATAATTTGTAGTAAAAAAGTAAAGCTGTGTAATTATCCAGATGAAAATGAGTGACTTTTATTAAAAAAGACCTATTCATTGTACAATGTGTAAGTTTGTTTTTATGTTTTGCTTATGATCTCCGTTAAAATTCCCGCCCTAATTAATATTCATGATTGAATGAATAAATTAGGCCACCTCCATATAAAGACCACCTGTCTATAAAGGACAGTTTGGCTCAGTCCACTGACTGTCCTTTATAGACAGGTTTGACTGTACATGTATTCAAAATGGCTGATTTTATTTTAATTAATGCTGTTCCAGAGCAATATCTCTCAATATGGACAAGTACTTGGTTGACGATCAGATACAAATGTCAATAATTTTAACAATCATCATATTCATATTCCTGACATGGTTATATTCCAGCTATATTACTATAAACAAAACTACTGTGGAATACTTTATTTTCACTGCAATTAATTTTCGCTGAAAAGGCTTCTTGGGCGTTTTGTATGGAATTTATTTTCACTGATTTTTGATGAGTTTAACGTGAAATATAGGAAAAAAAAGTATATTCGCGTATTTTCACGGAATCATTCCTTCAGCGAAAATAGCGAAAATAAAGTAATTCACAGTATATATCTTAAATTCAATACCTAACAGGGACTGTACATGCATGGCTTGTCTTATTCATTACTGGTTTATTAATTTCATAACATTCCTGTCTTTCTACTTTCCACTAACTTGTTCTATACTGTATTTAATGTTTTATTGTTCACAGAGCTACTAAAATCTTTGTGAATGGATGTTGGGTTGGAATACACAGAGATCCTGAACAGTTGATGAACACTCTAAAGAAACTCAGAAGACAGATGGATATCATTGTATCTGAGGTGAGATCACATTTGTAGAGCAGCCATTGTTATCAACACTCACACTGTGTAGACTCATGGTCTACACTCACTGGGTTAAGAATCGACTACCCTTGTACAATGTATTACTTGGCGACTTCTGTCAATTTTTTTTTCCAGAAATGAATAATTAATGGTTTGAAATGTTGGATGTATTACTGAATATAGTTTGAGTTCTTTGTTACAGAATCCTATTGTTATTTGATGCATATTTTGAGTGACTCTTTGTGATGCATATATGATGTCTAACTTTAGGTATCTATGGTGAGAGACATCAGAGAGAAGGAAATCCGAATCTATACTGATGCAGGTCGAATCTGTAGACCTCTGCTAATTGTAGAGAAACAGAAGTTATTACTCAAGAAAAAACACATTGATATGTTGAAAGAAAGAGAATATAACAATTACAGGTAACCACTTTAATAATGTTCCAAATGTGGACGCTGTTATTGAGTATTCTTTCGCAAACATGTGTCTAAACATAACGTCACAGATGTTTTAACAGAACCATTAAAGAAAAGTAACAACTTGTTGCAACTTGTGATTCAAGATGACTTGCATGATTTCATTGAAACTTGCTATAATAATATACATGTCTTGTATATTTCAGTTGGCAAGACCTTGTTGCTAGTGGTGTTGTAGAATACATAGATACGTTAGAAGAAGAGACTGTTATGCTAGCAATGACCCCAGATGATTTACAAGAGAAAGGCATGGGATATTGTTCTACCTATACACACTGTGAGATCCATCCATCAATGATACTGGGTGTGTGTGCTTCTATTATTCCATTTCCTGATCATAACCAGGTAATCAAACATTACTTTGTCCTATGGCATCTGAGTTGACCATAAAATTATGTTTTGATTCCAGTCTAAGGGAAATTTAGAAAATGGTGTGTTTTTTTGATGCCAGATTATTGTTTTGCTCTTTAAAGGAAAGGTATAGAAAAATGAAAAATCTGCCATTTTTGTTAACTCAAGTAATTATTTTTCAATGATTATAAATTTTATATCTTGTCAGTTAGTCTATATTCTCGGTAAAATTTACTATTGATGTGTCTTGCAAGTACATTTTTCAAGATTGAAATGTCTGTTGGAGTATTTGTCATTTGTTATCTTGGTTGATAAGAAATACTGTTTTTAATTGCAGTCGCCTCGTAATACCTACCAATCAGCTATGGGTAAGCAAGCGATGGGCGTCTACATCACCAATTACCATGTACGAATGGACACATTAGCTCATGTACTGTACTATCCACAAAAACCCTTAGTTACAACCAGATCCATGGAATATCTGAGGTTTAGGGAATTGCCAGCTGGTATCAATTCCATTGTTGCCATTGCATCATATACCGGATATAATCAGGAAGATTCTGTCATTATGAATCTATCAGCAGTAGAAAGGGGATTTTTTAGGTGAGTTTTGTGTATATTGCATGCAATTTAGCTGTGTGTCTCTAACAATATATCTTTTCCTGCCATGTGTTAACCTGTAACTATATTATCTGTTTGTTCTCAGGTCTGTCTTTTACCGCTCGTACAGAGACCAGGAATCTAAGAAAGGGCTAGATCAGGAAGAAGTGTTTGAGAAACCTGATAGAGAAAGCTGTCAAGGTTAACATAAATTATTATTATGAACAGTGTTAACTGAAGTATCATGTTTGCTCTTTTCAGTGTTGTATTGGATCAGCAAATGAGTTAAAAATTATACGAAAGCTTCTTAGACAATTCTACAGGTCACAGACATGTTCATGGTTTTTCTAGAAAAAATGAACAAGAGGGAGCACACACCGGCGAGGGAGTGAAACCAAGTGGGATGGTATATCGGATGGTTTCTGCACCATTTTAACGGTGTATCTATTGCCATTGAAATATTTTTGGAGTAATTTTAGTGTATTTGGTGTCCAGACACGTTGTCAGCTGGTGTTGCTGAGAAGTTTTCACAGAGAAAAATATATTTGAGAAAGATTTCATGTTGTGCGGCAGCACGGAAGTGTGCGGCTCAAGAAATATATTTATGACTTGAAAGTTCAATCAGCAATTCGGTAAAAGGGCGCTGTGCTCCTGTTCCCCGGTTACATACAGTGTACAATATTGCTGTTACTTTGATCCTAGGTATGAGAATGGCTGTCTATGATAAACTAGATGATGATGGTATTATTGCACCAGGATCACGTGTATCCGGTGATGATGTATTGATTGGGAAAACAGTCACACTGCCTGAAAATGATGATGAGGTAAACAATCGTTCTGTTTCTTCAGCAACCTATTACAATGTGCAGAAGTTTAAAATATGAAATGACAAATATCAAAACAAATGTCACATGTCCATTTCCATCTGCTTTGTAAACAATTACAAGTACCAGGGCATAATAAAAGAATTAATAGTTGTGATTATGAGTGATCAATCCAAGACGCAATTCAAGCTTGTAAATAGTACCATTTTGTTTATCGCCAGTTGCAATTTTCGTTTGTTTAAAAAAAAATCAATGCCCCATGGGGCTATATTTTTAGAGGTTAAAATTAAGAACATTGCGTTTAAAACTATATTTCTTAGCAGTTTTCTGTTGCTGTCATACAAATAACTTGCTAGACCGACTACGGTTAATAATCTGTACAGCAGTATTATGTGAAATCAAACTAAATAAAATATTGACTGACAAATTCTACACAAATAGCTACAGGAAAAATTTATTTATATCAGATGAACTAAGATGACAAGTGCATTTCTTTAATTCATCTAATTATATGTTTGACAGCTTGAAGGAACTACCAGGAGGTTCACCAAGAGAGATTCAAGTACATTTATGCGTAGAACTGAGACCGGTATTGTAGATCAAGTCATGGTATCCATCAACCAGGAGGGCTATAAATTTTGCAAGATAAAAATTCGATCTGTTAGAATTCCGCAAATAGGTGATAAGTTTGCTAGCCGTCATGGTCAAAAAGGAACATGTGGCATCCAATACAGGCAAGAGGTAGGTACATTTACATTTTGGGTTTCACTAACAGTTTCTCTGTAGTGTTACAATTAGATGGCTGTGCAATTTAGATATTTTCAAATGTGGGTTATACCGGTAGTCAAGATTAACGTTTTGAAAATTGTCACCCATTCTGATGTGTATGAACACTTTTTATTTCAAATTGTAAGAAGTATTAATATTTTTAAAGGGCGGTGGTCGTCGCACCGATCATTGGCAACATTATATGTTGATTTCCCCACAATCCAATGCGCTCTTTTAATGAAATCGCGAGTACAAGTTTTAACCTGGGCACTAATTACTGATGGCGACTCCTTCAATGCCTTCCTATCATAAACAAGTAAACTAATTAAAACTTGGTAACATCCCAGTTTTTCTGCCCCATAGTCAAAGTCTCAATCTTTGTTTATATGACACCTATGTTACATGCGACACCCACTGCACTTTAATATTACATTTATAATTAAGTCAAAGTATTGTGCTAATGTTTCATATGATTAATTTTCTTATTTTGTCTGTCTTGTTTGTTAGTCCCCGTTCGGACGCAGTCCGAAAACGGGGACTTATGTTTTAACCTCTGTTCGTCCGTGCTTCTGTGCGTGCGTCTGTACCTGTATCTTAGAAATGCCTGGACTAATCGCAATCAAAATTTACACATACATATTCATTATACATCATGTCATAGATATACAGATATATTGGTTTGACAATCCTATTAAAAATGGCAGAATGGTGGCCATTTTTGTTCAAACTTGGTACATACATTAGACATTACGGGTTCCTGATGCACGTTATTTTATATTTTAGATCGTATTCAGAATGGCTGACTAGTGGCCATTTTGTTTTAATGAATGGGCTTCTAGAGCCATATCTCTGACATGCTTTGACTGACTATTTTATATATTCATTATACATGTATTCAAAATGCCTGATTTTGTTTTAATTAATGCTGTTCCAGAGGAATATCTCTCAATACTCCTTTGACGATCAGATACAATTTAAATGTTAAACAATTATTATAATCATATTCCTGACATGGTTATATTCCAGATATATTACTATAAACAAAACTATATATCTTAAATTCGATAACTAACAGGGACTGTGCCTTGCTTGGCTTGTTTTACATGTAATCAGAGCCTGTAAATAGGTGTTCCCAGAATAAATAAATAAGAACATTGATGTATGTCATTAAACACTATCGTAAAATTCCATTCTATTACTAGGATATGCCGTTTACAGCGGAAGGTATCACACCAGATATTATCATCAATCCTCATGCTATTCCCAGTCGTATGACTATTGGTCATTTAATTGAGTGTTTACAAGGCAAGGTATCAGCTAATAAAGGTGAAATTGGTGACGCTACCCCATTCAATGATACTGTGAATGTACAGAAGATATCAAATCTACTGCATGAGTACGGCTACCACCTTAGGGGTAATGAGGTAAGAAGTGCAGCTATGTACACATACAGTTCATTCATTATCTTCCCTATAGCAGCCAGCTCCAAGCATTATATATCTCATTCAATGTTTTACTCTACTATTAGCATAACCTATAATATCTTATTTTATTTAGCAAGATTTAGTCTTTTCCTCTGATGAAGAGTCACAGTAACATAAGCTTCCAGGGACATCGTTTCTCTTATTCAAACAAGTGTTATCATTATTGAGTGTCATGATGGTCAATCAAATTGAACAACAAGTTACTTCACCCAACCCCCACCCTGACTCCAACCAACCCCCACCCTGACTCCAACCAACCCCCACCCTGACTCCAACCAACCCCCACCCTGACTCCAACCAACCCCCACCCTGACTCCAACCAACCCCCACCCTGACTCCAACCAACCCCCACCCTGACTCCAACCAAACCCCACCCTGACTCCAACCAAACCCCACCCTGACTCCAACCAACCCCTACCCAAAATTGCAAAATTACTGTATGGTACACATGTATTTTGTTAAAGTATTTGTCATTGCCCAGCATCTTTTCAATTTTACTCTGTTAGGTTCTGTACAATGGTTTCACTGGTAGAAAGCTAGGTACACAGATATTTATTGGACCCACCTATTACCAACGTTTGAAGCACATGGTGGATGATAAGATTCATTCTCGTGCTAGGGGTCCATTGCAGATATTAAACAGACAACCTATGGAAGGAAGATCACGGTAAGGATATATTTGGCAATAAGGCGTTCTGTAATAGTGTAGATAGTGTTGTTTTAGAGGAGACAATTGGTAAAATAATGTCTACATAGTTTAAACCATACAAACTACTTGTGTTTACAGTGATGGTGGTCTTCGTTTTGGTGAAATGGAACGGGATTGCCAGATATCACATGGTGCTGCTCAGTTCTTGCGAGAGCGTCTGTTTGAGGTATCCGACCCTTACAGAGTTCATGTATGCAATCTGTGTGGTCTGATTGCCATTGCTAATCTTAGAAATAACACATTTGAATGTAGAGGATGCAAGAACAAGACACAGGTATGTTGAATAGTTGCTACTAGTTTAAGGTAGCAACAGGGTAAACAGAGTTGAAGTTTAATCTGATTCCGATATTCTATGCTTCTATGCATTATCTGAAAGGTTAGATATACACAAATACAGTAGTGCACATGTTGTGCTAATATTTGTCAAATGGATCACCTGGTGCCTGATTGGCTCCAACTATTAGAAACACTTGTTTTTATTACTTTCAATTGCACAAATGTTGCAGGTTTGAGTCTTGTGTATTCTTTTTCTGCCCAGTTCTATCTACGAGCAAATTACTACAGACATTTTTATTGCCCTCAGATCAAGCTAAATTATTTTTGTTTTGTGTTTCAGATTTCACAGATTCGTTTGCCATATGCCTGTAAGTTATTATTCCAAGAATTGATGTCAATGAGTATAGCCCCTAGAATGATGGTCTTACCGTAATATCTGCTACTCTGCTTTGATGAAACTCAACTTGACTGTTGATTGATGGAGACGTGGAATAGGAAGTTTGCAACATACTTGTTTATTGTGACAAAGTGTGGTACATTTTGTCAGATATGTTGCATTGCCTGTGAAGGATTTGGAGCTATTAACTTATATTAACATTACATTACAATTTGTCAACTGCTTAACATAAAATTTGGTGTTTTTTAAAGTAAATTAAAGTGCATCAAGTAAATGCACAATGTCATAAACTAGTTTTAGCTACAGTAGCTAATTCTATCGCTATATTGTTCTTAGCCAAGTTAAACCTTTTGTAGCGCATTTGCAAATCGTGAGAAATAAAAAATTACAAAATTTTCTCTGATTCATGTACGAAAATGCAATGTACTACATATTGAGGAACATGTTTTTCTGATGTTTAAATTGCATTTATGGGGGAGATGACACTCTTTTAAATGATGTTCATTTTTGCTGAATAAATTATGGTTTGAAATAATTGCCAGGCAAGTCTAAAATAAATTCAACTCTGAGAAAGGGTTAGCAGAAATCCAGGACCAAACTCAGTTGATCATGACATTGGACTATGAATGCAACTGCCTTGATTGCCCTTCAGCATTTTTTTCCGAATTTCTATCAGACATTTTTAGAAATTAAAGTGTTGAAATTGAATGCCCTCAGAGTACTGAAGTTCAAGTCTTGTGACGCACATTTGTGGACAACACAGCCAATATAGTGTATTTTAGACAGGGGTGGGAAGTTGAATTAACAATCTATTGTGAAATAAAGCAACATTTTTTCATTAATGTTTACCTTGTCTTAATCTCTGTCTTTCCTCCTTGTAGTTGTCATTGGCTCATTCGTGAAAACTTGTTGTTGCATGCATTGTTAAGTCACATTGAAAGTATGTTATGCTATGTACATTGTCCAGAAGTTGTTGCATGCATTGTTAAGTTACATTGAAAGTATGTTATGCTATGTACATTGTCCAGAAGTTGTTGCATGCATTGTTAAGTTACATTGAAAGTATGTTATGCTATGTACATTGTCCAGAAGTTGTTGCATGCATTGTTAAGTTACATTGAAAGTATGTTATGCTATGTACATTGTCCAGAAGTTGTTGCATGCATTGTTAAGTTACATTGAAAGTATGTTATGCTATGTACATTGACCAGAAGTTGTTGCATGCATTAAGTCACATTGAAAGTATGTTATGCTATGTACATTGACCAGAAGTTGTTGCATGCATTGTTAAGTTACATTGAAAGTATGTTATGCTATGTACATTGGCCAGAAGTTGTTGCATGCATTGTTAAGTCACATTGAAAGTATGTTATGCTATGTACATTGCCAGAAGTTGTTGCATGCATTGTTAAGTTACATTGAAAGTATGTTATGCTATGTACATTGATCCAGAAGTTGTTGCATGCATTGTTAAGTTACATTGAAAATATGTTATGCTATGTACATTGTCCAGAAGTTGTTGCATGCATTGTTAAGTTACATTGAAAGTATGTTATGCTATGTACATTGTCCAGAAGTTGTTGCATGCATTGTTAAGTTACATTGAAAGTATGTTATGCTATGTACATTGTCCAGAAGTTGTTGCATGCATTGTTAAGTTACATTGAAAATATGTTATGCTATGTACATTGTCCAGAAGTTGTTGCATGCATTGTTAAGTTACATTGAAAGTATGTTATGCTATGTACATTGTCCAGAAGTTGTTGCATGCATTGTTAAGTTACATTGAAAGTATGTTATGCTATGTACATTGACCAGAAGTTGTTGCATGCAAAGCATGTATAGTGCATTATCAGTAAATTTTTGCACTGAATTGGTGGGTTGGGTTGGCAAGTAATAAAATTGACTGCAAAGTTGGCATAAATGCATGATTGTGGCAAATTTTATCGTTGACTGTTAATTTCAACGAATATAGTTCACAATATGTAGGTGTTTGTACTCGTCATAGACAGTTTTGTCATTTTAACAAAATAAGTAGTTGTTTATGCATGGCAATGCATACAACAAACCTATTTGATTTATTTTATCAAAAGTTGTGAATCAAACAAATTTATGCTGAGGCCAGACTCTGTCGGAATACACTGCTCCATAAAGTGTGTAAGGACACATTACTGCTAAGCCAACATTTATGTGATCTGATTGATTTATTAGCAACCTGTTTTCAAGCATTTTGTTCTGGGTATTGCAAGATGAAAACGTAAGTATGGTGACAACAAACTTTGTATTTCTGTAGTGTTGTACAATGCTGAACCTTTCATTAAAAGTTGCCATGGCAATAACCATGTAAGCCAAGATGGCTGATTTAGAGCATGGTAACATTAACAATGGTAAATCACTATCAACTTTGTTTTGAGGAATAACTTTGTTTTAAAAAAACAGTGGAGCTATTTACACCATGATGTCGCTTGTTTTAGTAATGGGGTAAATCATTAAAAACTCTGAAGGGTGAAAATACTGTGCAAACTATTTTTTCACTTCACTTAGTTTTATAATAGAGATGCATTTTTCATTTTTTTTTGGGGGGGGGGGATACATGTATACGTATAAACTACCAATATTTCAAGAATTGCTAATCTAATTCAATATAACTGGGTATATAGCTGTATGAAAATGATGCTAGATCTTTGTAGGTATCTGTATTTATGGATGTGCGTTTCCCAGCAATATCTCAAGAATCAATCATTTGATTCAATAAAGCTTTGTGATAATGCGCAGACCCGATAAGCTTTCAGTGGGAATCCGTTCATGCACTAATATATAATACCGTTATACACTTCCTTGTCATTCGATTTTTGTCAAAATTTGTTGAGCATCCGGCAAATTGACCTATTTTTTGATTATTTATTATGATTGAACAGCTTATTTTGAAAAGTCGCTAAAATTAAGTAGTGCTCGCCATGTTATGTGCAGCAAAGTAGGTGATATAACATGCAAAGTGCGTAATACTGCATATAAAGGCGGGGGAAAGTTGCATGCAATAATCTGCAAAGTAGATAAAAGTTACTCTGAACGTCAGTCATGATTTGTGCAATGAAGTTGTCCAGTAAATTACGTTGAAAGTACGAAAACGTGCATGACAATTCGCTTAAGTTATATCCAAGGTATAAAACGCAAACACAGAAAAGTAGTGTCAGCAAAATAACATGCAAAGTTGTGTGGTACATGCGTCTTTTGCGTTTAAAGTATGTGCGTGTAAAGTCGTTAAAGTTACGTAGAAGCCCAGTAAACTTGCCTGTGGCGTAAAGTAGGTGATAATATGTGCAAAGTCGATGCAGTTACGTACAATGTTCGTAAACTTGCGCGCGACGTCATTGAAGTTACGTGCAAAGGGCATAATGCTGCAGACAAATACGTGAAAGTAGGTAAAAGTTCTGTTTAAATGCACAGGGTTATAACTTGTATGGGAAGTTCATAAATTTACATACAAAGTCCACAACACTGCATGCAAAAGCCGGAAGGTTCTGTGCTTAGTCGGGAAAGTAGGTAAAGCTATATAAAACGTCTGTCATTTTACGTGAGAAAGTAGGGAGTTTGATTGGTTGATAAAGTTATTCGCAAAGTGCATGTAAATGCGTGAAGATGCACGCACAATAGGAAGGTCGCGTGCACAGTTGGCAAAGTTATGTAGAAGGTCCGTCATGTTACTTGCAACGTAGATAACGTTTTGTAGAAGGTCCGTAACATAGCATGCGAAGTCCATAAATGTATGTGCAAAACGTGTAATACTACATGCAAAGACAGAGAAGTAATATGCGAAGTAGGTGGAACATCCTTCATATTCCGTGCAAAGTATGTACAATTACATGGAAGGTTGTGAACTTGCATGCAAAGTTGATGCAATTTTGGGCAAAGACAGGAAAGTTACATGCAAAGCCATAATGTACAGTATGGGGCATGTTGATTGGCAAGTAGTAAAATTGGCTGTCCAAATGAATGAAGACAAAGTCGATATGAATAATCGTATAATTCTGCACTCAAATTCGGGTTATGGGGAATTCCGTCATATTATGTGCAAGAAAGATAGTTACGCAGAACGCTGTTATCTTGTTATGATTATGTCACACAGGCCTCGTAATTTGATTGGTCAGTGCATCATGGCTGACAAGTCGTAATATGCTCTCAAATGTTACCAATGTATAAACCGTATATGTTGATGGCTCCATAAATTAACATATTCAAAATTTGAATGAGTTCAAAGTGTTGGTAACAGTTTTTATAAAATGGCAATTAAGTATGCAAATGAGTGGAACGCTCTATTTTAAATACATTCACGGATTATACTTTTGAAGTCGTGTTGGTTTATAAAAGCATCGAAATGGATATATGGGATAACTATGGTATCAAT